ACCTTACCTTAAAAGACCCAGACATGTTTCATCTTCAATGCTCTTGCTGATGGAAAGAGGTTTGCACTCAAACTCTCACAATACATTGCCTCATTCATTCTTTCATGTACAAGGATCAGTTGTCCTGTTCCTTTAGCAGAAACAGCCCCAAAGTATGATGCTGCGCCCCCATGCTTCACTTGTAGGTATAGTATCGTTTGGATGCAACTCACCATGCACTCTCCTCCAAACACGACAAGTTGTGTTTGTACCAAACTGTTTGACTTTGGTTCCATCTGACCATATGACATTCTCCCAATACTCTTCTGGAACATCCAAATGCTCTCTAGCAAACTTCAGACGGGCCAAGATAAGTACTGGCTTAAGCAGAGGAACACGTCTGGCACTTCAGGATGTGAGACCCTGGCAGCACAGTGTGTTACTGACAGTAGCCTTTGTTGTGCCAGTGACAGCTTTCTGCAAGTCATTTACTAGATTCCTCCGTGAGGTTCTGGGATTTTTGCTCGCCGTTCATGTGATCATTTTGCCCCCACAGGGTGAGATCTTGTGTGGAGCCCCTAACTGAGGGAGATCAGTGGTCTTGTATGTCTTCCATTTTTTTTAATTATTGCTTCCACAGTTCTTTTCACACCAAGCTGCTTGCCTATTGCAGATTCAGTCTTCCCAGCCTGCTGCAGGTCTACAATTTTATTTCTGGTGTTCTTGCACAGCTCTCTGGTCTTCACCATAGTGGAGTTTGGAGTGTGACTGTTTGAGGTTGTGGACATGCGTCTTTTATACTGATAAGTTCAAACAGGTGCCATTAATACAGGTAATGAGTGGAGGACAGAGGAGCCTCTTAAAGGAGAAGTTACAGGTATGTGAGAACGAGAAATCCTGCTTGTTATTGACCAAATACTTATATTCTACCGTAATTTGCAGTTCTTAAAATAAAAGTGATTTCCTAGATATGTTTTCTCATTTTGTCTCTCATAGTCGAGGTCTACCTTTGATGTCAAATACAGGCCTCTCATTTTTTTTAAGTGGGAGAACTTTTCCCCCCACTGTAATTAGTGACCTCACTAATTGAACTTGGCAATTTTGAACATTTCAGCTAATGATTCACATAATCACAGATTCACAGAATCAGCAGCATGCATATCATGCTTGTTGGGTCTATTGGTTTTCTATAACTTTACTAACCCTTCTAGAAACTTACTTTCAGTGCAGAAGTTCAAATGTGAACAAAAACTGTGATTTATCTTGCTAGTGATGTGGAACAGAGTCTAAAAACACAGCTGCAAATAAAAACTGGTCATATTTGGTCTCAACTTTATTTATATACTAATTACTAAAATATCTCTGGGGGAAAAAAAACTACAAACAAAACATCTTCATTTATGCCAATGGAAAATAATTTCAAAACACCTGAAATGGTCTTATTCCTGTGCAAGTGATGAATACAAGCCAAATCAGAAAACATAAATATACCAAGACCTTTTTATACAGAATATAAATTTAACCCATGAATGTTACTTAGATATTGTGAGAACAAAAATTTTAGAACAATAATTACTTTCCATCCTGTTACTGTACTGCAAATAACAGAACTACAAAACAACGTCTATAAAGTTGAGAGGCTATTTGCTTGTCAATACCATTTCTGAAGACATTTTGAAACTTAAAAATCTCTTTCTACACCAGAATTAATCTTAGATTTCCCATTATGAAAATTTACCAATTGCAGTTTTGTTTATATAAAACTATGCAATTTTTTAAAAATAATTTTACTGTCACAAAAACAATAAAATGTTTATAAAGGCTGAAAGGACCAGTAAATTTTTTTCACATCAACAGTAAAAAGAAATTGCAACCTTTTCCAATCATCATCCTTCACATAACAGAACATAAGGAAAAAGCCCTTTTGGTTGTTTTCTTCTTGAACAGAATGAAGCTGAGCAATTTTGCAAAGTTGTATCTCATCCACAATGGCCTAAAAGTGTTATTTGGACGCAAAGTAGCCAAATCTGACTAAAATGCACAGTGTGTGCAGCAGCAACAACTCACTAATTTTACAGCACAGTGGTAGTTAAAATTTCAGTTTGCTTTGCAATCACAGAATCTGTACAACTCTGGCTATCGAAGTATTCAAGCTTGGCCAACACTGGAGAGTAATCTCGACCACCTGAGTCAGTCTACAACAGAAAAAAAAAAAAATTATGTTACGACTGAATCAAAGTTCAAATCAGATGTGGGAATGAAAGAGACAAAGAAATATTCTTACAGTAAAATGCAACAAATGAGTGCCAGTGGGATTTGAATCAGTCACTGTCATATTCTTCTATGATGACTTCCTCTTCCTCCAAGAGCGCTCGGTTTGTAATAAGATGGGACTGACAGACTTGCGGATCTTTCTCAATCCTGCAGTGCAATTCCTCTTCTTCCTCGATCTCCTGGCCCATCTCTTTGTCTCTTAGATTCTCCAGTTTTAATCTGAACACATGTCACAAAGACAAAGATGTCGTAAATTTTAATTTGAAACTTTCAGGTTCAGTTTTCTTCATTGGTAACCGTGGATACATTTTAGCTGTGATACAATAAAACAAAGACACAGGATGCCAAACTTCTCGCAGCTGTTCACTGCTTGCCCACAAAAATCCTGCAGGAGTGTTTTATGAAACCCCCCCCAAAAACAACAAAAAACAACATTGTTAGGAATTAGTCCCTCCAGGAAGTGGAGATGATGCAATAGCAACTGTAATGGATAGTGAGCTATTTAAAATAAATTGTCTAAATTATTTAAATTTGTAAACTAAAGTAAATTATTCAAAGTGAATTTTCTAAATTAAGAATGTTGCAGATTGTTTATAGATGTTTGTTTTGATTAGCATTGTTGGTGGTTTATATTTTTGTTTTCTTTTAATGGTATTTGTACTTTATAATGTTTTGGGTTTTTTGTATGTACCTCATGGGCTGCCGTAGGTAATGAAGGCAGGCCCTGTAACAGCTGGTAGAATAATTGTGCCCATGAATGACTTGAACTGTCAAGATGTGTTTGGCACAAAGAAATCAACACTTAGTGTTCCCCAGTGAAAGCAGCGAGGTACGTTTTGTTTTGTTTGTATTTTAAGTTTATGTTTTGCATTCTGATGTTTGTATATATTTTAGTTTTCACTGTAACTGAGGTTATTGTGGTGACTGTGATGATCATGGTTGATATTCATCAACGAAAATAAAATGCTGAAATTCACCTGTTGAGATTGGCTGAGTAATTCAAGTGCTGGGGAGTTGCTACAGCAACTATAAACTCAAATTTATCATCACTGGTACTGCTCAGAAGGTTTTCATAGGCTGTGGTACTTGTTCTAGTTCCAGGCTCATGTTTAACATATATCCCATGATGCTACACAGTTGATCTGTGCAGCACCTCAGGAGCCTGACGCTGATGCCATGCAGGCTTCCAGCCTTCCGCACCTTTATCTTATGCAGCTCATTTCTCACCTGGAAAGTGAAATTGTACTCAGGCTCTTCCATACCCCCACTGATGTTTTGCTGCAACTGATCCTCCTGTGGATTTTTTTTTCCCAATTCCTGATCTTCCTTCTCTGTTCTTTCTGCACAGCTCTCAGCTCATTAAATAGGTTTGATCAAAATTCAGCTGAAAAGAATCGCCCTAACCCCTAACTTTGAATTAGATGAAGACCCTCAAGATGTTGGTCCTCAAACATCTTTACATCTTTGGTGAGGTCTTCAATGGATCCTCTGCAGCTCCCTCACTGGCCTAACATCAGGATAGGTAATGCCATTATCTCCTCCACACCACTGTAACATACAGTTGACTGGATGACTGGAAGCACTGTAGGGATTGTGTTCTTTGATTCCTTCAGTTTTTTTGACACATCAGGAGACAAGTTCGAGATGCAAGCAGTGGACCATCACCTGTCCCAGTGGCTACTGGACTACTTTAGTAGCTGCTGATAGTATGGAAGACCCAGAGCTGTGTCTCTGACAGGGTGATTTGGAGTACAGATCAATGCAGTGGACTGCTCTGGCAACGTTACCATTCACTGTTTACTCTGCAGACTTCTCCATCAACTCCCAAGACTGCCATCTACAAAGTTTCTCTGCCATAGACAGCCTGAGTTCACTGTCTGTACTTAGAGTACAGACAGTGAACTCAGGACTTTGAGGATTGGTCCTGCTGGATCATCTTTTTTATTGTCACTTGTAAGCCTTTATTTATTTATTTTTTACTGTCAATTCTTGGATGAAACTATGGCTGCATGAAATATTTTAATACTGTACTAAGAGTGTAATAGCGGTCTTCCAACCAATCCCAATACCTAGCTTCAAAAATACTACATTAAAATTGAAAAAACATTTGGAGCAACAATGCACAACAAAGTCAAAAAGCTGACAAGCAAGTCCCAGCAGGTGGAGAAGAGAGATGCGACTAAAATACAAGCGGTCTCCCACCACAATAAACAAATAACAACAAAAGCTGGACTTCAGTCCAAATCCAATCAGTGGGGGAGAGTTGAAAAAGTTGGTTGGAAAATATGTAGTAGAGGAAATGCTGCCCTTAAATATGATTGACTCGCCCTGACTGACATTTTCATGTTGAAGCAGTGGGGGTTGTTGTCAATAGCTGCCAAATGTAGCTAATAAATTAACTTGTAATCTAACTTAGTTAAAATAAGATATACCTTTATTCCTTTATTAATCCCACAGAGGGGAAATTTGTATTGTTACAGCAGTACAGAGGACAGAGCAGAACCAATATAAAAATCTATATATACAAAAAATACAAGTGAAAATAGAAATATTGAAACAGTATAGTATGAAATATAAAAAATAAGTACATTCCAGGTGTATATGTTAAGGTAGGCAGATAGGTGATGTTACACAGATTAAAGTAAATAAATAATAAATGAAATAGTAATGTAAGTCATATTGCAAATGGTGACAGATAGGTAAGTTGTTATACATGGTGAATTTGTCATAAGTGATTTAAGTTAGAACCAAGTTAATTTTTCAAGGACCAATCACTAGTCAGAAATTCAAGATACCACAAATTGAAAGCCTTTAGAGAGTTCTGATTTACTATAAAGAGAGAGATCATATTTCTCCTATTTTAGTTTCCCTTTATTAGCTTCCAGTTAAATCCAGAATAGAATTTAAGATTCTCCTTCTCACATGCAAAGTGCTTAATTAAGCTCCATCATTCATCAGAGATCTGATTGGTCCATATGTTCCCAACAGAGCACTTTGCTCTCAGACTGCAGGTTAACTGCTGGTTGGGAGGCAGATTCTTTTATCATCAGGTTCCTCTGCTGTGGAACCAGCTCACAGTTTCACTCTGTGTACTTTTAAGCTCAGATTTAAAACTTTCCTTTCTGATAAAGCATATAGTTAAAAACAATATTTAATCTGCAATATACAATAGTCAAGTACGAGTTGGAATAATAAAGTTAATTAATTATTTCAAAAAGGACTTTTTCACATGGGTTAAAAAGGAGGAGTTTTTTCCCTTTGTAAATTAATCATTTGAAGGTATATCTTGCATGTACTTAGGTTATCTTAAAGCTTTCTGTGTTCAATGCCGTCATCCGATTACCAAGGCCTATAAAATATGTACAAAATTTATAATACATGAGGATTAAAAAGGTTTCGTACCTGCCAGAACATGTCCTTAGTGACATCTGACCAACATCTTGAATAACAGCCATCTGTGCTATCAGGAAAAAAAGTAGGATGTTACTTTAATCACCATTAATTAACTACCAGAAACATCTTTTATGGTTCACAATTTATTTCCCTAATCCTATAATTATTGCGTCCAGATCAATTTATTTCACCCCTGAGTCCCAGCCATGTGATTTAGAGTATTGGTCAGTATTGTAGTATTGGCCGAGTCCCAATGCGATACTTCAAAAAACATTTAGAAAATGAACCCCCTAGATGAGAGCATCGCCTAATTTGCATATTTGATTATGTGAGCCAGGATATTTAGAAATGAATATCAACATTGACAATGCAAAAATAATATAAAATACTTTTTAAATCACTTTTAAAAAGTATTAAACTTTACTAACTTGTGTGAACCTACATTAAATAAATCAGTTTTGTATAATATCAAAATTAACCAAAAGACAGTTATCAGAGGCATGTACAGGGGAGGAGGTGAATCAGTGATGGAGGTTGGGTGAATCAAATTTATTTTTGGTGCGACAGTTTTGGTAAAAAAAAAAAAAAAAAAAGCAAACATAAATAACTATATTTACATTCTATTTACTGCAATCCAGAGCAGGATCAATGGCAACTTTGTGCATGTGTGATTCTATTGCAGTGTGTAATGGAGTGGAGTGAGTCTCCTCTGCTCTACTGCAGGGTGAGAATACTGTCAGTCAGACAACAGGCTGCCCTCCCCGCACCTTGGAGGTGGGAGGGGTTCATGGCAGCTCTCACTGCTCACTGTAACTGAAGTACTATCTATGCTTTTCTGTTTTGTCACCAATGTCTCCAATAATGATGGTTTGAAATGACTAAATACAGCAGCAATGTCACCAAGTTGGCAGCAGTGCTGATGCTGTGTTCTGCTTCACATTACTAAAGTTGGTAGGCTGAGAAACCATGCCTGCAGAGAATTGTATGCCCTGTCGCGGAAACACGCATTGCTCTAAACTCTCACTAAAGTGAAGCCACACTCTTCATTGCTGCTGCACACATTTGATGTGCTGTGTAGACACTGCAGCTGATTCCATTGTAGGGCTTCAGTGGCTTCTTCAGTCGGCTGACTGGGAATCATAACTAGGAATTGAAAATTAAAAAGATTATCGATTCTCAACCTTCAATTCTCAATAAGTATAATGGATAGGTTTTTGACAGAGCTTTGTGTGTTTGAGTGTGAAGGGTAAGGTTTTGTGGGGGAGGGGGATTTTCTTAACCAAAGGGGGCTCAACAGAAAAAGCTTGGGAGTCACTGGTGTTAGGAACTATCTATAAAACCACAGATCTGAAAGATAAATGAGGCACAGCAGTTTAAATGTTAAACGTTTTTTAACATTTAAATAAGACACTTTCATATTTTAGTTAGTAGTTGTTATTTTTGGAAACGTAACTGTTATTACAGTAATTTTATAGTACAGTAAAGACAGTAACAGTGAGGCATCCATTGCGTGCTACCTTGACTCCTTGTAGGGTTACAAAGTTTGGCCAGGAAAGGCAGCAACTGAGTCTGTAGACCGACTGGTGTAAGACAGAAGCTCCTGAACAAAGATTGCGCAGCCACACAGTTGTCCTGGTGCTATAAAAAGAAATATTTATTAGTATTTATAAAGGGAAATCCTGAATCCACATTGATCAATTGTTTTCAGTGACACTGATTCAGAGATTTGTGTATATTTAAACATAATAAAGGATAACCACATCTGTAATTGTATTTTTAGCTTTATTTGACCAGGGTGCTTTTATTCTTTGCTTAACAGGTTTAAAATGATTGGGCTTTGGAGGCACTTGTGAGGCAGCTCCAAAAAACAATTTCAGTAGCAAACTGAAGGCTACTCAAATATTCATGAGACCATTTCCAAAATAATAATAATAATTTAAATCCATCTATTCATCATTTGTAGTCAAGACAGAAATTTTAGTCAGTATTAAATAAAATAATGCTATGGTAGTTGAGTCTGGGAAACAACATATTGCTCGTGGTGGATCTAGAAAAATATGCATGGGGTGGCAAGAGATGGAAAGTCCATCTGGTGCCCGTTGCCATACATTACTGGATTGGACAGCAGCCATAGCCGCTGTGATGATGCGCCACTAGTATGCATTGAGTCATGTCCACAAAGCCATACTGTTTCAATGCATGAAGAGCAGGACTCGATCACAAAAATATTTGTGGCATAATAATTTATTATCAGATTTCTATTAAATATGGCTTAAATTAAAGCTGAGAAAATTGCTAATGTTTCGATTCATACAATATGTATTCTCCTGGATGTAAATCTATAAATAGTTTGTTTTCTGTCAGCTCTGCCAAGATGCAAGAGAGGACGAATTTCTCTTATATTGGTAAAGAATAACTAGCGTGAAAACGCAGGCTAGTAAACAAGGCTCTACTGAGGATAAACAGCTATGGCATCTGTAGGTATCAACAATATACTTTACATTAGCGCTGTTGTAAACGAATGTTTTAGTAATAGAGTAATCTATCGATTATTCTTATGATGAAGTAATCGGGGGAAAAAATGACAAAATAAAATATTGGTAAATCTGGCATAACACCAGGGTTACTATCAGTATCAATATCAGTCCAATTTGTCATATTTGAGCATCCCTAACATTTAGTTTTTTGTAGTTTATAAAATTAACCTGTCACAATAGCTCACTTTCTAAGTTAATCTGAAGAAAAGTTATACAAAGATCTGACATTATATTCAATTTAATAATAAGGAGGCAGTGGGGTGCTGTGGTGGCCAGTGGTGGAGAAAGTACTCAAAAATTGTACTTAAGTACAGTAACGAAGTACTTGTACTGTGGCGCAGGGGAAAAGCACGACCCACGTATTGAGACCTTAGTCCTCGTGATGGAGGTTGCAGGTTAAATTCCCGGCCTGGCAACATTTGCCGTATGTCTTCCCCCCTCTCATTACCCTGTTTCCTGTTGAACTACTTTTAAATAAAAGCCACTAGAGCCAACAAAACCTTTAAAAAAATAATAATAAAGAGTCAGGCTCACAAATACACTTATAAAAAATGTCTGTGCTCCAGCTTTTAGTTTATGTGTTCATCTTCGGTGAGTTTAAGAGATGAACTCTCACTTTGCACCATACCTGTCAAGCTTTTGAGAATACGGGAAATGTCGCTTGGAGTTGGGGGGGTTGGAGTGGTGGGGGGCAGGCGAGTGAACAAACGTAAGATGGGGTTGGGGAGGAGGAAATGGACCACACATCTGCTACTTGACCGACAGATGCACATGCAGTGTGCGGGAGTGAGCTATGCGTGAATGACAGACCAAACCACTCCTCCTGGCTCTGATTGGTTGTTTTGGTTCGGAAGCAGGGTATTTTTATAAATGCTATTAGAGCCACAGGGGGATGTGATTTTTTCACAGTTTATCTCTCATCTTCTATTTACAGGAATTAGTGAGATTTTTAACATATGAAAATGATACATCTTCAAAAAAGTTACACATTGTAGCTTTAATGTCCAATTTGCCACATCTATTTCTTGAATTCACGGTTGCCAGTTAGTGTGGCTACAAGGTGGCAGCTATGATCCCATACCACCCAAGAAGATATGCCCCTACATATTGCATATTTACATGTACCCCTGAAATCCAGATGACAGCATAGCTTTACTAAAGTCATACCTTTTTGTTGACTAGACACCAACTGGGTTTGTGCAGCGGTCTGAAGCCAACAGGAAGTTGACAAGAGTTTGAGTGGATCAACCCTCTGGTTGCCACTGAAGATCCATAGTCCCCTATTGTGTGACGAATCTAAAAAGAAAGACAGTATCTTTAGAACACTGAAAACTAGTCATCAGACAATCCACACAGGACACACAGTCGGTAGAATCGCAGTCGGTAGAACAACAATCAATTTATTCATAATGCTCTATATATCAAATTGAAATCTCAAAGGACACATTCACACAGAGAGCTGTGGAGCTGTCCACTGACCACTACCTGGTAGTGAGTTGGCTCTGGTGGTGGGGGGAGGAAGCCGGTCAGACCTGGCAGGTCCAAACATATTATGAGGGTCTGCTGGGAACGTCTGGCACAGTCTTCCATGAGACAGAGCTTTAACTCCTACTTCCGGGAGAGCTTTGAACATGTTTTGAGGGGATTGAGGACATTGAGTCTGAGTGGACCATGTTCCGCATCTCCATTGTCGAGGCGGCTTATTGGACCTGTTGGTTGTTGGTGCCTCTCAGCAACCTCGGGTGGTTGCTGAGGCAAAAACTCAGGCATGAGAGGAGTTTGGAGAGGCCATGGAGAAAGACTTCCACACATCTTCGAGGCAATTCTGGCCCACCACCCATAGTCTCAGGAGGGGAAAGCAGTACAGCACCTTTTTATAGTGGGGATGGTGTGCTGGTGGCCTTGACTAGGGGACATTGTGGGCCGGTCAACAGAATACTTTGAAGACCTCCTCAATCTCACCAACATCCATTGAGGAAGCCGAGCCTGGGGATTCGGGGTCAGGCTCTCCAATCTCTGGGGATGAGGTCACCAAGGTGGTTAAAAAGCTCCTCAGTGGCAGGGCCCCATGGGTGGATGAGATTTGCCCAGAGTTTCTTAAGGCTCTGGATGATGCGGGTTGTGATGGTTGATGCGATTCTGCAATATTGGGTGGACATCGGGGGGAACTGCACCCCCTATTTGAATAGGGGAGGAATATTGAAGCTTTTATTTTGAAACTTTCAGTAAGCTTCATGTTAAATGACCACACTAATTCAATGTGAAAAAAAGAAATAAGGTGAAGTTTGAATTAAGTTTTGGTGATTTAAATGAGAATTTGGTTGAAAATGTTTAAAATGTATTAATCAGTAAGATATGACAGGTGATCTGGTATTTTGTATTTTTATCTTTTTATTATCTTTTATGTTCTTTGATAATCATTANTCTTTTTATTATCTTTTCTTTATAATTTGATCTTTCTTTGTTTGATAAAACTTATTCTGCTCAGATTATTGTGCAAATTGATCATGCTGTAAACTCAGGCGGATCACGTGAACAGGGCGTGCTTAGCTCTGGTTGACTTGGGTTGGGCTCTGATTGGTCTGCTGGTTCACGCTCTCAGCCCATGATTGGCTCATGGTCAGAGAGCGGCTACCTCTGATTGGATGGCTCGCCTGCAAGGATGGAAATGGCCATTCCCCCTTTGCACGCAGGCATCCCTTTGTTTAAGAGATAAAATACGAAAAAGCCCGCGGTTTGGTCAGAGTCTGCTGTGGATCGCGTCCGAATGCCCAGCTACGTTGATGATGCTGCTTGACTCTAGGCCGAAGGCTCTCCGGCCAAGTTTCACGAGGTAAGCGCTGGTAACTTGAATGAATCGAGCATCACGTGTTTAGTCATAGAGTGTTTTGTACTGTAATCTGTGGGGAAATAAATCGAGCACATTTAATTCTAGCAGAAACAGCGTTTGGTTTCGTTATTGCCGCCGATCTCCTTCGACCCTGATTTAAAATTTCATAAAACAACAGGATGCAACTTATCAGCTCTATCCAGCAAAAACAAAAACAAAAAGATGAAGCTATCTGGGACAGAGTGGCATGGGGCAATGGAGTAGAACGTAAAGACAGGCTGTGAAGTTATCACCTCAGCATAAAGATGATGTTCATATGATGTGCCGAACCATGCACCTAGGATTTTGCAAAGATTCTCAGACAACAGCCTAAGAGTGTTGCAAATGCAATTTAGTGACAACATTCTTCCACAAAGTCCAGGATGTTATTCAAATGTCATAAATTCACATGTCCACTACAGAAAATGTACTGAACACTGCGTGCTGAAACCACAAAGGGTGAGGAAGATGGCTGATTAGATCTAATTCCTCAGAATTCCTTGCACTGGAGACACCACTGCTGGAAACATGACTGCTTAACTCCCCTACCCTTGCAATAAAATTCAGAGCTGATCAGTTAAGAACTGATCGCCACTCCAAAAGACCTGAATCCCAAAGTCTTGTCTTTTGAGTAAGCCTCGAACAGAGACATAGCTTAGAGCATTTCCTTCAAACCTGCTGGCCAGGAAAAATAACTATGACCATGTAAAATTTCAGTTTTTCTTTTTAATAAAATTTGCAACAATTTCTACATTTCTGTTTTTTTCTGCCAAGATGGAATGCTACATCCATGAGAAATAACTTTCTGGATTTTAGCAAATGGCTGCAATGAAACAAAGAGTGAAAGATTTAAAAGGGCCTGAATACTTTCCATACCCACTGTATAAGTTAGGATAGCTTCATTCTACACTTTTTCAATCTATACAACACCATTTTTTTTTTACATCTTATTGAATGCAGTTGGAGTGTTGACTGTGTATATGTCTACCTCTATATATTTAGCTTCATGTTTTTTATATTCTATCAATCTGTCATTAGTTTATACTATCTATTTAAGGACTAACCATCCAATTTCCTGCGAGAAGATCTGCATCAGACAGGTACTCGCTAGCTCTGTCCACATCTTCTATGTCAGAGAAGAAGTCCAGATAATTCTGATGGAGGCATAAGCTGAAAAATTCTCCAGAAGTTTCTGAACGCTCAACCACCAACTGAATACAAAGATAAACAAAAAAAATATCTAAATGAACAGAAGAACACCCAGATTATTGTCAAATTAAATAAAGTGGGGGAAAAAAAAAAAAAAAAACTTACTTCGGGCTGCACGAGCAATACTTCTCTATTATGTTGCAAAAGGTGAAATGGCAAAACAAGTCCAGAGGCACCTTTACTTTCATTTGGACAGTCACCATTTCCACCTGTTGGTCACATCATTGACACATCATTTGACTTAAACAGACTGTACCATAATCGTTATACTCTTACAATTCAGATTCATCTGTAGACCACTCTACAATGTTATTCACATAAATTCAAAAATACTTTATTAATCCCAAAGGGATATTAAATGTTGTTGTAATTCATATTATTAAACATTTAAAGAGTTATTGTAGATACTGATGCTGTGAACAGGGAGAATATCTTGTATTACAGTGAAACTGAAGAAGCCTCTGACTGAAAACACATATAACTTGATAAAAGGTCACATAAAGGTCATCGTAGGTCTTCCTGCTTATGACATAGCATTTGGGTATTAAATCTACCAAATTGATCATTTTGCATAACATAAAATCAATAAAATGAAAAAAAAACCCTCTAAATTGTATCTTTTTGTCTACAGCTGGAGGAATTTTATTGATAATAAACCTATCAATGAAAAATTGTATCCAACTGTGTAAATAATTATCAGTGAAAGTAGAGTTGTACAAATAAGAATGATCTTATTCTTATTTTTTATTCTGTACATAGTTCACACACTCTATACCCTGCACCACCACTGTGTTCCAAACCAGTGATAGTTTAATACCAAAGCTGCCCAATCAGTACACAATAATTCTGGTGCCAAATGTTCAAGCCATTTTATAGCTGGTACTCACGTTTGCAGTGCAGAATCTTTCCCAGTGCCCTAAACAAGAAGAAAGAAACATCTTTCCCACCAATAGGCTGATGCTCTTCGTGCTCCTTAGCTGACTTTGCTTGTTTCCCCTTCTTTTTTGATAGAGCAGCAGCTCTTTCCAATGATATTGTAGGTGGTTTCTTCAATGTACACAATCCTTTTTCTGACAAATTTTCAAAAACATTAGAAAGATAACATAAGTTGACCTGTCCTGAAAAGCACAAATATTCATTTGCAATATAATTGATTTTAAATTTGTACAACTGCATTTTTGACCCCTTAAGTGTCATGGAGTGGAATGTGGCATAACTTTACCCAGTAGACAGCAAAACTGTAGGCTATTAATAGCACTTCGGATATCTCCAGAAGATCCTGAACAAAGCATTTCCAGTTCTGCCTTGTCAGGAACATACAAACTCTTATGATTCTGCTGAAAATGAAAATATTAAATTAGGCAGATAATACAAGAAAAAAACTTACTTTTGCACACTTTATCTCACCTTTTCTGCCTCCATGTATACAATGTTTTTCAGAACCTTCATCATTGTTGTTGCAGGAACAGGATTAAAACTGAAGTGAATGATATAATATAATGTTACTGCGAATCTAGTATGATAGTAATCAAATATTCTAAATTTAAATTAAACTTCCACAAATGTACTTTGTTTCTACTAGCCGGAGTAAAAGAACAAAAGTACAATATCACCACCATTTAAACTGATGTAGCACATCACCTATATTTTTTTTTGCAATATTGGTTAAATAATTCACTAATTATAAAATAATATTAAAAGTAGGCATTTATTCCATTTAAATGTTTAGTTTATTAATGAAACATTCATCTATCCATCCAATTACAAAAATGAACATTTTTTGGGGGGCCAGCTCGAGTCACTGAACCCTGTTTTGTTGTGGACGTTGACTTACATGCTGGATCCAGATAACTGACTGAAGCAAACACTCCATTCAAATGACTACATGATTTAAGTCAATATGTGAGAAATATTCACATAAAATCTGATTTTATAGAACATTCAGTTTCTCCTTTAAAAGCATCAAACCCCTAAAATATCAATCCAATTGAAAAACCGTTCATTAGTCCCAAAAGGAAAATGTTGTAACTCATACTATCCCAGGTTCTTCAGAGTTGTTGTATGTGCTGGTAACTGTGAGCAGGAAGGACTACAAGTATGTCTGCATTACAACAAATCTGAAGAAGCCTTTGACTGAGGACACTCTGTTGTAAAGCAGTCTGATGAAGAGGACGCTCAGGATTTTTCATACTTTTCTTGGTTTTTTTGAACAATCATCGATTTGCACCATCATCCCCAGTGGTTCTACAGTGGGTCTCAGAACAGAATCAGCTTTCTTTATCCTGTTTGTTAGTAGAAAACCAGTCTGTCTCACACTCTGCTCTTTGCAGGGCAGAGTTTGAGATGAAGAAAAAAAAAACTTGACACTTAAGCACATATAAACACATATAGACAAAACAAGGACGTGTGATGTGAATATGGGTCTCATGTGAGTTATGCGTGTGTCAGACCAAGAGCCCTAAGTGAAGCATGCGATTGTTCGTGATTGTGAGTATGATCCCAAAGTTCACCAGCTGCTTTTATCAGTTCAGGGCCACAGATGTCCTCAGGGAGGGGAGGGGCAGCAGAACAGAGCCTTATTTAGACATAACAGGGGAGGATAGCTGGCCAGCCAAGGCCAGCCCGGGCAGCCAGATTCCGATAGCAATAATTTGTTTAGGTCAGGCTGACATCAGTTTACTGCCTTCCTTGAAAGTCTC